TCAACCTTGTTAAAAACCTTCTTGACTCTTTTTCTTGTCAACAAGGACTTCCTGGCCCAACTTCTAATTTGCTTGGGCTGATGGGTGTACAGCTTCCTAAAGATGACGATAAGGGCAAGTGAGATCTGTAAGCTTTGGTCTCATGCTCAATTATTTTCTTGTATAACGGGGTCCATGGTTTTGTGGTGTAACTCCAATATGGAGATTGTACCGAGAAATCACTGGAATTCACTGTATATATTGTAGCTGCAGCGTCCTCCTTGTAACTGAAGGTAGCAAGTTGCTTTTGAAATCTATTATCTATCGAAACGCTGAAGTTGTGTTTCAGTTCTTACAATTATTGTGTCATTTTTTGACTCATAGTTTGATAAAATTTTCAAGTCCTGTGACTTTGTGGGTTACCTTTCTGTCTAAAGAGCGAACTGTGAGTAAAGAGACTTGGAGTTTTGACAAAGCCTGGTGCTAGAGTTAAATTTTTAACAGAGCTGAGTGTTAGAGTCGAGCATACTAGATACAGCAGATGATGTGCTATCAGCACTACGTAGAAAGACGTAAACTATCAGACCAAAATTATAAAAAAGAAAGATGTATACTAATCAACGGGTATTGAAGAATGTAGCATCTTGGCATACTTACCGGAAGAAGATGAATCCTTCTAGAAAAGAAGGGGGCAAAAGATGAGATCTTTCTGGCAAAGAAAGGTTTCCTTATTTGTGAAAATTCTTGGATTTTTCTGTGTTTGAATCGACAATAAGACAGCCTAGGTCGAATAGTTTGCTTTGTTATTTAAAGAAAGTTAAGCTGTTGGCTTGATTAAGCCAAAATAAAGGAAAGTGTCCTCAAACAATGGAGGAGACAATTTTTCGTACCTTTGCATGAGAACAAGCATTCCCTTTCATATAATTGCTTCCATTATTATAATTTTACAACAATGAACTTTTCTGAATTAACACTAACCAGGAAGCTGTCACTATACAAGGCTTAAATGAAGCCTGACTCTATAGTTATAGAATTGAAAATTAACAAAATAAAACATTATAGTTTGGAGATGTTAATGTGCCCATGGGACCTATGAAGGTGGAAGTTAGGCGGCCTTCTTTCTTAAAACAAAGGAAAGACCAGGTCGGAGGTATTGAATGACAATGATGATTCGGTAACATCTCATCCTTCCTTACCAGTCATCAGCCCCATCACTCGATAACGACAACAACAACGACAATATTGGAAAAAATATATAATCCCAGCAATCGACTTCGCTTAATATATAAATAAATAAAGGTGGAAAACGAGGTCCATGGAGATGGAGGAGACACCAGTGACCAAAAGCTAACAAATGGGATCTCAGTTTCCTTTTTATGTGACTCGGTTTGTTCGTCTCTTTTGACATCTGCTGTTTTTTTCCTCCAAGCTTGGACCCACCCCTTAAAAATCCCACAATCGTCACTCACCTCCGAGGAATCCATATCTCAACAGTAGATGTGTGATCCAACGGTAGTCATCGAATCTCTCATATATTCAACGCCGTATTTGAAGTGGCCAAAAGCACAGTCAACCACTGCTTTACATATATCTATGTGGATTGTTGGCTCTTCTCTGTTCCTATTCATTGTCTCTTTTGGGTGTTGTTAAGCAAGGAATAATAAGAAGAAGATGGTGTCAAAGACAATTGATTTGTTGAAGAAGGATCTTCCTGTGGAGCAAAGCTCTTTGGTTCTTTCCCAAGATGTTAAGACTGGTCTTGTTCTTGTTGACGTTGTTAATGGCTTCTGCACCGTTGGAGCTGGAAATCTGGTAACTTTCTCAAACTTTCTTTTCCCGTGATACAACTTTTTGTCATTGCCTATATACTCTTGCATGCTTTTGAGAAGCTAAATTAATTTTTTGCTTTTATATTTTCGATAAATGGTAATGTGGGATCTTGTTTCTATAGGCTCCAAGGGAACCTGATAAACAAATATCTGATATGGTTGAAGAGTCTGTGAGACTAGCCAAGCTGTTCTGTGAGAAAAATTGGCCTGTTTTTGCTTTCCTTGATTCCCATCATCCTGATATTCCTGAGCCTCCTTACCCTCCTCATTGCATTACTGGAACTGATGAAGCAAGATTGGTTCCTGGTACTTCGCTATTTTGATGACTACTTATTATTCATGCTTATTTATTTCTTCCTTTCAAAATATGAATTTAATGGCATGCATGTTTATGTATTTTAGCTCTCCAGTGGCTAGAGAATGAGCCTAATGCTACACTTAAATGCAAAGATTGCATTGATGGGTTCCTTGGTTCCATTGAGAAAGATGGTTCAAATTTGTTTGTTGATTGGGTTAAAAATAATCAGATTAAAGCTGTAAGTATTTCTAACAATTACAAAGAGACAGCTCAGTTTTGATTGTTGCGTTTTGCTCTTCGTTTGAGTGTATCTGGGAAAGACTTAATGTATAGTTTTACATAAGATTTTGTCTATTCTGATCTACCTCTTTCGGATTTTGAAGATCTTGGTTGTAGGGATATGCACAGATATTTGTGTATTGGATTTTGTATGTTCCACTCTATCTGCCAGAAATCGCCGAATTCTTACCCCTCTTGAGGATGTGATTGTATACTCCAGTGCTTGTGCAACTTTTGATCTTCCAGTTCATGTTGCCAAAGATATCAATGGTGCTCTGGCTCATCCTCAGGTAGTTCAAATCATAGATAACAGATTTTAAGATTTTAATCTTTGTTTGGTTCAATTTTGATATGCAATAAACTTAAAAAGCTTGATTTTTAAGAAAACATTTCTCCTGGTGAAGTAATTCAGTGAGTTTAAATTTCCAAATCTTACATCGTTCTACTTTTAATAATTGAATAAATAATTCATTAAGTCTTAAACAAATAGTTCACCATCAGAGAGACTATAGTGGTATCATATGGATAATAGCTCTTGGGATTCTTGGAAGAACAGTTCATAGAAACTTGGGGGAAAGAGTATCAGCTCTCTTGAATGCTATTCTAAGTGACAGTCTAATAACTTACAGAGGTTGGTGAGAAGCAGAAAACTTAGTATAAAGTTATTTATGCAAGCATAGTTCTTTTTGAGTTTTTTTTATCTACAGATGCTTTCTTTTTAAAACGCTTTGTTTGGTAACCATCTTCATCGGAAGCCAATGCAGTCCATGTGTCAGGAAGTAGAGAAAATAAATAGTCAATAACAACAGCACAATTGTGGATAGGATGGTTTTTTTTTTTTTCAGATATAAACTTAAATCAGTAATGAATACTGAGCCAATATCATATTTGATAAAACATAGGCATCATGGAGAAAGTTATTGATCACCGAGTCATCTATATGACTTCACTCTGTTCTTTGAGTTTCACTTGTTTATCAATTATCCAATTCTTCTTCTGGTTTCTCATAAGAACCACAATTAGATGGCTTGAAAGAACCATTTGATCTGCTATGGTGTTTGTACTGATTATTGTTTACTATAAATTATTTTAAAGCATTGCTTCTAAAATTTCAAACAAACTGATTGGTAATATTTTAATCTTGATACAAATTACCTTCCATTTTTTGAAGGCAGTAACTCCTGAAGTTAGATCATTTTGGTTCTTAAATTGGACATTGGATATTTATCATACCTTCACCCAAAAGTTGCAGATAAGAAACCAAGTTACCATGGATGCGTGCATGAATATAACCTGTTAGGCTGCGCAATGGAAATTGGGATGATTAATATTAGACATGGTGGAGAGAGGTATCAAGGAAAGTATTTTGGAGAAGTGTTGAATTCCCCAATGAGCTTGCATTAGCATTAAAATTCTGTACTTGAGGATGAATTTGCTGGGTGTGTGCAGAAAAGGCTTTGATTTCTAGCTTTTAGTTTCAGCAGACAAGAAGACAAGGTGTAGAAGACAAGGTGTAAACCGGATATTGAGAATGCAAGCGAGGGGAATGCCTAAACAGACTTACACGCATGCATATGTATATACATAGAGAGTCATTAATTCACTTAGACATCATTTTCCGTTAGTTACTACATTAATGTGAAGGTGTTTCTGCGGTAACTAATCTTTTTTTTTTTTTTGATTGAAAAGTGTTAGTAATCTGAGATTGAGTACAATAGTGATTACTTGTTGACTGTTTGCTTCAGCATACTAAGGTGGAATAAGGTTGAGACTGGACATTGAGAATGTAATTTAATACAATGGATAAGGTACTGTGGTTATAATTGCAGAGTGATACCCACAATAATACAGAGGCAATGCTTAAAAAGAGACTGCATTACTGTGAAGATGCATATTAAGTTACTTAGCCTAAAATGAATTCAAAAGTTTTTTTTTGAGGTCCCTTCATCAGCGACAATAGTTTTTCCCTGACAATTGATAAAAAGAAATGTGTAAAAAAAAAAAAAAAGTTTAGGCTGCTTGTTTTCTTATTGATAAAAACTCTTTTGAAATTTTTTCCTATGGCAGGATCTCATGCATCACATAGGTCTGTACATTGCCAAGGGAAGGGGAGCCAGGGTTGTATCTGAGGTCTCATTTGCTGTGTGTGTTGAAAGTGATACAGACCTGTAAACAAAGTTAGTTTGGCTCCAACTTTGATATCAGTGCCCAAGAAGAAGATGATCACGATGTGCAGGGCACATGACTTACCAGAGCCTGTATGCATCGTTTCATCAATAGGATACTTACTAGTTTATTATATGCTTTTCATTTCTGTTAAGCTTTGTCAGTACCAGGCCACGTTTAGGCTACTGGTTTGTTTAGTTTGTACTGTAGGGGAGACAAATAGCTGTATTTTGAAGATTCACTTGGCATCGGTTTCCTATAATTCTTGTATCCTTACTGCATGCACTCCATAGTTCAAACCTCCAGCCGGCCCCTAAGGAAGAAGAATTGGGGGAAACCATTAGATAAATTAGACTCTGTTCTTATCACCAACTTTTCTTACCTGACATTGGTGTAGAAAATAACTTGAAATGGCTAAGATCCTATCACTCTGATGTTGAATTGAAACAGGGCAATTTTGCTAAAGCTTCTGGATGAATGAGAATGAAGAATACAGATAAACAAAATATTCCCTTCACGTTGATAATTACAGACTATAAAACATCTACTGCCAACAGAAAACATGCTTTTCCAGTTCATAAACAAAATGAGAATAGGAAAAGTGTTGCCTTCTGTGAAAGTATCACTAAAAGGAAAGTAAGCAACTTTGAGAAGAGGGAAGAAAACATTATAATATAAGCTAACACGCACAGCCAAACAGTTTACCTAGTGCTACCAAGTCCTTGTCTTAAACCATTGTACTTCCGATTCAGTGCGGGGTGTACGCAGGAAAAGATGGATGTCCTTTGCTTCTTTGGTTTGACACCAAAGATAAATGACCTCAAAGGAACTCGAGAACGACTATCTGAGTGTTGCAGTTGACCACTTTGACGGCTCCTAGATCCAGAAAGCCCCCAATCTTCTGTCAACTTTGCCAGAGTTCTATCAACTTCAAGCTGTAGTGTTGTTACATGATCTAAACCTGCTTGCAATTCATCTGCAACTTTGTTATTCTCTTGTTTCATGTTCAAAATCTCACCTTGGAATTTCGCTGCTTGGTAACTTGTGAACTTGAAGTCGTCATCTTCAGCACTTGCTTTCAAAGCCTTTGTTATTTCTTCCTGAATGTCACACAAAGATGAGAATCGGTTCTTCAGTTCTTCTTTTAGTAATACACTTTTTTCCACCCAGACAGTCAATTCAGTCTGTATTTCTCTGAGGTGTTTGTATAATGGTCGCACATCGGATTTTAGAGAGTATTTTGCAGTGCTACTTCCATCTTGCTTTTGTCTTTCCTCGAGTTTTGATGCCTCAGCAGCTAAGTCTTTCACCGCAGTTTCAAATTTCTGTACCTCATGGAATGCTGTGCTGAATCGTAACCAGAAATCCAAGTTCTCCTCTAGCAGTTCATCAATGTTCATCCGGAACTTTTCTTCAATTGCTGAAGTAGTTTGAGACTGGTTAATTAGCATTACCCCAAGGTCTTCTTGTAATTCTTTCTCTGGTGTTGTGGAGGTTTCAGTCAATATTGATTTCTCAGAACTTACTCGAGTTTCAACATATTGATCAGTATTGCTTTCACCAAGACCTGTTTGGTAAAGGCTTAGTTTCTGACGTAAGGACCGAATCTCTTCATCTTTCATGGCGTTAGTGCTCTTCAGTTCCCTTAGCTGCAATGTTATCTCAAACAGGCCATTCTGGTTCTTTGTCTCCACTTCCGTGAGCTTCTTCTTGGTGTCCTTGTAGTTTCGAAGCATTGTGGTATACTCCGTCAATAGATTCTTCTCTCTGTCTTCCATACCTTTCAAGAACAACTTCTTCCAGTCTGGCTCATCCTCTTGACCTCTCTCCTGTTCGTTTGGTTCAACTTTGGCAAGAGTGTCCACTGTCTGTGAAGAAGCTTGCTCATCAACTTTGTCCATCAGGTCTTCACATTTCTCTGAAGGCTTAGAATCTTCGTGGCTAACACCTCCATCTACAGAACTTGTAATCAAATCATGTTCTTTTGCATCCTCCCTCTCTTTTACTTTCACCTCCTCCTTCCCTTCTAATTTTGCATTCCCACCCATTGTAAAGCCATCATCATGATCAACGTTTTCTCCTTTTTGTTCTGGCCCTTTGGATGATTCAACTTTAACCAGGGAGTCCTCTTCCTTTCGTAAAGAACTTGAGACTGTGACCATCTCCTCTGGTTTTGCACTCTGCAGCATTTTGCAGCCATCACTTAGATTCCGATTTTTGCTCTCTTGTTCTTCAGACTCTTTTTGGGATTTGACTTCAGCTGGAGAGTTCTCTCTTCCGGATGCATCAGCGACCTCAAACTCCTTGCCTGCTTTCACCTTCTCTGGCTTCTTGTCACTATCTTTGATCTTCTCCTTTGACAATATCACTTCCACGGAAGAGCTCTTCTCTCTTTCAAGCTCCCCATCTGGCTGCACACTATGCATTTTCTCAGAAAGGTGATTAAGATTACAATGAGCTTCAGTAAAATGTGTTTGGAGGTTGTTGTTTTGGTCTTCAATGCTCTGGTTCAAACCCTGAATCCCATGCAACTTCTCCTCCATCTCCCTTAGCTTGTTCCTCAAATCTTTTTTTCCATCAATCAGCGTGGCCTTATCATCTTCCAAGGTCCGAATCTGGGCTTGGAGCTCATCAGTCTCTGTTCTTAGTCTTTGGATAAGAGCTGTCTGAGAAGAGACTGCAGTTTCTAAGTTGATCACCTTGTTCACAAGTTCATCAATCTTCTCCGCCATTTCTGTCACAGTCAAAGATTCACCAAGGCCAACTTCAAAGTGCTCCTTAATCTTCTCCCTTAAAGACTCCAAACCTTTTTTCTTTTGGGTAGTGTCACTCACTTCCTGTTCCAATCTTTTAGACTTTTGTACTGCTATTTCTGATTTATCTGCACCAGATGGCTTTTCCTCACTGACTTCGTTTAAGAGAAATGCGTTCTTGAGAGAGTCCAACTTATCCCTGGCATCTTTGATCCTTTTCTGCTCCACTTCTACTTCTATGACTGATCTCTCCTGTTTCTCCTGCAGCTGATCCAAGGTCTCTTTGCATGATTTCAAAGCCGTTGCCGTCATCAGATTTCGAGCCTCATCATCTTCAATGACCCTACCTTCACCAAATTCATCTCCCAAACTGCAAACTCTCTCTTGCATTTCTTTTATCTCATTCTCTATTTCCCAGTACTTTGCCAGCCCACTCTCATAAGAGCTCTTAACAAACTCCTTTTCCGTCTGCAATGCGAGAATTCGTTTCTGAAGCCTGTCAATCTCCTCTAGTCCCTGAGCCTTGGTCAAACCAGACTTAGGAACTGCAGTGGCAGTGGCTTTTTTTGATTTCTTAGGTTGCATTTTCTTCGTGGCTGATGTTATTAAACCCTTTAAATCTTTGACAGGAAGCTTCGGAACCTTGGGGATATTGGCTTTTGAGTTTTCTGAAGACTTCTTTGGAAATTTTGGTGAGCCATCTTCCTCTTCATCATCCATCGCAAACTGGACTTGCTCTGGAAAAACAGAAGCAATTGTGTTGTTTGCATTTTGCAGCTCTGTTGATATATGGTCATACCGTTCAGCTAAGGAACGGTAAGCTCTGTAGGATTCTTCCACAAAATGTATCAGTTCTGGCCTCTTTTTGTAGTACATTTCTGCTCTCTTGGCAAAGGAGTCTCCATCTTCTTCAATGAGCTTAAGCACGCTAGCTACTTTTTCCTCCATATCTGCAATTCCCATTGAATTTTCTCAGAGAGTTTTCCAATTGCATACAGATACAGATTGAGTATTTCAAAGCTAAAAACCAGTTGATCATTGATAAATTATAGCACCAACTTCATAAGTATTCCTAAGCTGTTACCATTTCAATAATATGGAAACAGAGATTTGATCAAAATTTAACCTTAGGTAGATCATGGACTGAGTAAATTGAATCCCTGCTATTGATCTAAACTGATTCATGATCAGAAATATAGACTTGAAAAGGGAATTAACTGTAATAAGGTTGTACAACAATAGATTTTTCTGACTGTTAGGAGATCATTGCTTCACTTAATTGTGCCAGAAAATAAATAATATTAGACACATTTTTAAAAGAAAAATAAAAGAATATGCAATGAAGATGCTGGATCATAAATGATAATGAATTTAAACTCCATCTGTCTAACTGCATTTACGATATATCATTTGAATCAAAATTGTCAGAAAGAACTAAACTATCTATATACGATGATGATTTGACATCAACCAGGCCAAAATTTCAGCTTTCATTCATAAAAAAAAATCCATTCAAAATGGGCAAAGCAAAGAGAATCATAAAACAACAACAAAAACCCAGAAATGATTATGCTTTGGACATCAAGGAAAAACATAAATACCTTGGAGGTTTTGTTCCAGCCATTTTGACTGCTTTGTTCTGATGTGGCTAGCCCACCACCAAGAATATGCATTGCTTGCAGCTCTTTGCAACATATTTTTACCTTATCACCCTTTTCTTCTCTATTGAAAGAACCGCAATACCAAAAACATGTAGAAAAAAAAAAAATCTCTGTTCTTTGTTTCTGTTAAGACCCCAGAAGCACACAAAACTCTACACCTCTCTCTCTCTCTCTCTCTTTAGCTTTAGCTCTGTATCTTATCTATCTCTCTATAAAACAAAGAGAAGACATGGAAGCCAATAAGGAATAAGAGAAGGGAAGAGAAAGGAAAAAGAACAAGAAGCAGAAGGAAAAAAAAAGTCTTAGTTTTGACAAGGAAACGTGCAACAAAGAAATCTGTGTCTTCTGTATTTGTTATAGGATCATGGAGGGGAGCAAACTTCGGCCGAATATATTGTTGAAGCAATGGAAAGCCTTGTTTCTTCTCTTTCTCTTTGTATTAAAATAAGCCATGGAAGTGGCATTGTACCTCAAAAAACAAAAAAATAAACAAACCAGTTCAAAAGGTTCAGCCAGTGGTCCATCTCCACGTGGCTTTCTTGTCTTTTTCCAGGGTGTTCAGGGCACCCCACTTTTATGATTTGGGATACTTCTTTTAACCGACTTTTTCCATTTTCCATAGGGGAATGAATTACAAAGTTTTTCAAAGGTGTGGGAAAACAATCAATTTTTATTAGAAATAAAAGCCGTTTAAGCTAAGCAATCTGTCAGTCTGTCACCGACTGGACTTGGAATCTCCTCGTCTGAAAGACTAAACAGCTTTTCTAAAGGGCATGCTTTTAATAGGGGAGTGTTTGAAGATCAAAGTTAGGTGCCCTAATCAATTGAATAAGAAAGGACAGGCATTTCTGTTGGCATATATTTTTGGGAGAGGACCCATGTTTGAGAGTTAAAAGAACAAAGTGTTCAGCATTTCTAGCTAATTGTCCTTTAGGCCTCCCTGGCTTGATTTCGGTAACCAAATGAAAACTTCCAAGTCTCCCATGGTGGAAACGTTGAACTGATAAGAACAAAGAATCCCTGATTATTAAAAAGTTTAATCTAAAGATAAATTTATGTGAATGATTTGTAAACAAAACATTAACGTAAAGTTTTTTTTTTTTATAAAAATTTGATTATTTTATCATAATATGAATATGGTGATAAAAATGTCTTAATTATTTAAGATTAATAAAAAAATTATTGAAAAGAATTTTGATTATGACATGGATAACAACGTTTACTAACTTTGGATCTTCAAAAATTAGCACATTGTCAAATTCTTGCCTTATATAAAATGGTTATAATATTAGCAATGGTCTCTTTTGAAAGGAAGGGAGAATAGACACAACTTCTCTAAGATTAACAATCTAGTTATTTCGTTGTCATCCGCAAGCCAAGCTATTGATACTCTCATCGCAATAGCTTTATGTTGATCAAGGAGCCGCTTCCCATTCTTCCTAAACGAAAGTGATAATAAGGAAAAGAAGTGAAAATCTATAAAGATTATCTCGAACAATAAAATGATGGCAGGCCTGGTAGCGGCAACCTCAAATTTTTCAACAATAATTTGAATCATGGCTTGCATGTCATGACTGCCAAAAGATGGGAAGACATGGGACTGGGGAGGGGGCCTTGACAGGCAACCCATGGAGCACAGCTTTTCTTTCCGGACAAAAGCATGCCCTCGACAACACTTTATCAAAGATTACTTGAATCATTGCTTCGGGTAAAAGCTAATGGGCGTCATTGGCACTGCAAACTGGTTGTGTAGGGTTAGACATGGAATGGTAAAGGTGGGACTGAGACTTAGAACTGCAAGATCAACATACAACGCACGCTCTCAAGAAACCCCTCCTTTTTTTAAGCTTTATGGCAACAACTGCAGGATCTTCATGTGATCACGGCAAACGCCAAGAACTGATTTCATCATTTGCACGATTTCATCATCTAACAACCGCAACTCAAGTGGTCCATATTCAAGGCCCACTAAGCTATGAGCCAAGGATAATATTTCCACTTGTTTTTTTCTTTTTAATGATGGTATAAAATCAGGGGACTCGTTTGTTATTGCAATTCAGAATTACAGAACCATGTGGACCACCTTCACGGCGTGAGGTTGCTGTTGAGAGGAAGAAAAGAAGCAGGAGAACTCTTGAGGACCCGCTCCGTAGCGAAAGAGGAAACTTTGGGCAATGCTTTTATGTCAGAAGTGTGAAGTGACACCTATTTGCATTGCTCATGAACTGTCCTTTTTTCCGTTTCTACTGGACAATTGCAGCTGGGTACCGAGTGTTCTAGATTAATTTAGCTATCATCGACCACAAAGCACAAACTGTTGGGTTAGAGCTCTCATTGACAGAAGTAACTACACAACACAAACTAAACAACATGCCATCGATCAATACAAGAAAGCAGCTAAATATAAAAGAAAAATAATCCTCGTGATAGAGGTTAAAAAAGGATTTACAAAATTGATTGGACGGTAGATTACTCGGGGGAAATATCAAAATTATTCACAGTAGCTGTGAGCTGAAAAGCAAGGATCATTTCTTGCATATTCACAGTAATACTATTTACAGAAAACAAAAAGACTCTCCATCATATCGTTGGTTTTCCTCAGATCAATTCAACGCATGTAAGCAGGAAGGATGACTAACTAAACAGAGTAAAATCCTGACAACAAGTGTCATCTTGAAGCAGAGAATAAAGCATACTCTGTGCATCTCCATTCTCCATGGATGTCAATCCTCTGCATTCTATCAGAAGTTTCATCTCTACCATCGCTTGCTATTCTTTTTACATTATTCTCTGATACTATAATAAGATTACTTCTTCAAGACTACTCCAAGGCTGAAATATTAACAGAAACTTATCGACATTCAGGCAGCCAGTTCTAGCCTTTCAGAGAAGAGAACCACTGCTGCATAGAGTTGCTTCCCTCTGCATATTTGACAAAAATGCAAATAAAAGTTAAAGTGTGCATCAGAAAAATATTAGGCCCATGCAAAAGAGCAACGAAGTTAACGGCAAGAAACACCCAAAGCAGCAATTTCTGTCAAAAGAACATGTATAAACATCTTTTAATAACTAAGAAACACCAAACTCATAAGTCATAAATAGGAATTATGGAATTCAACAGAGTTTAAGAGATAAGATAACAAGTCAAAAGCCAAACTCCCTACCTTAAAAAGCTATTCACACAGACAGTTCATCATTGATCGACAATGTTTGCAATATTGTCCAGAGGCATGCTACCAAGCAGCTCCAGATGGTTACTTGTCTGATATTAATAAGTGTATGCAAACTGCATCAAATAATAAAATTATAGTATCGAGCAAACTCATGTTTGTTCTCACTCAGACTAAGGTAAACATAAACTGCTGCTGCCTAAAACTACAAAGGGCCACTCAGGAAGCACCTTGCAAGAAATAGGTTGGAAGAAAGAAAGGTTGACACCAAAATGGCAGCAAGAATTACACAGACTCTGAAAATTGATCCTGCAAAGTTTTCTAAATCATTTGGACAAGTTGCATCAATGATACCTACCAATTATCTCAGAATGGAGATACCTCATAAAATCCTAATTTGTAACACTCTTTTCTTGGCGTTCTGTGCGCCCCCCCCCCCAACCACCACCACCACCACAAAAAAAAAAAAAAAGAGCAGGAAAAATGAGGATACAACAAAAGTTCTGCATGTCAAAGCACATCATCTTATACTTTTCCCATACGTTGTTTAAAAAGAACAAATCTAAAGGCTGCATGTAGTCACTTGAACACTCTCCAGACCACATCAAGTTTAAAGCATCTAGTTAACAATGGCAAGTGTGAAGCTAATGTTTCATTAAAATTTAAATTCCATCGAGGCTTTCTTTAATTTAAGTGATGTATGCTGCAAGGATTGAGTGCAGTGAACATGAAAGTATGCTATAAGTTGCAGCCAAATCACATGATATTGCCTTGTTAAATAGGTATAAGGGACCTAATTTCTAGAAAACAAGGCAACATTCTCTTAAACTGTACTACTCCAAATAGCTTCCAAGTACAGAACAGTGATATTTGTTTAATAGAGATAGCAAAAGCTTACAGTTAGACACAGAAAGGCATGAAGAACAATCTTAACTTCTTGACAAAGACAGATATGAAGCCTTTTACCCTGAACAAGTTAAAAATGTAGCTTCCAAGACAGAGGAGCATTTAAGATGCCATAGAACCAATCAATTAGCCTCACAAAACACCGTGCCATAAAATTCAATGGCACAGGTTAAATTTGAACAGTTCCACCAACAAGCTGATTCTAGGTGTCAATGCACAATCAATCAAAATAATATCATAAATGAACAAAGGAATTAAATAGATTTTTATAGGAATAAGCTCTTACCAGAAGATAAGCCATTAGGGAGGTTCCTGATTGCACACAAGAGCTGGTTATTGAAGGCCTCTACAATTTCCTTGCAACCAGGTCTATAACAAGGAACCAGCACAGCAAACCCACCATCATCTTCACCATCACCTTGAAAACCAGGACCGTGGGGCTCTTCCCACCCAATGGACCATTCTGGACCATCTGATTCATATCCAGACGAATGCATACCATCTGATGGAACTACCACGATATCGCATTCTTTATCAACCACCCTCCTCTCCTCACAACCTTGCCACTTTCCCTTTCCCTTCTTTGGGGCTATTTTTGTCTGGAATTTAACAGTTTCAGACTCTCTCAACCCCAACCCCCAATCAGAAGAAGAAGAATTCAGAGAATTTAAAGAAGACCCATTTGAAACAGGTTGTTTCTCTTTACTTCCACCACCCCAAAACCACCATGGAAAACCAGGAAAGGAAACTGCCATTTTTTTGGAACAACCTTAAAACTACATAAATCCTCTTCCTTTTTAAGTCAAAATGGTTACTTTTTCTTGCAGTTAACCACTATATTAGGAAATGATCAATTGAGTTTGATAATTAAAAAACAAGATCAGAATTTGGAAAGATATTAATTGAATCCAACAATTTTTTAATATCAATTGAAGTAAAAAAAAAAAAAGGCTTGTAAATTAAGCTCAAGCAAACTGTCTTCACTATATATTTTCTTCAAAAAAAATTCAAGCCCAAACAAATTTATCCAATCAAATGGGTCATTTTCTCATACCGCTGTTTCTTTTTTCTACAGTTTAATGACCCTTTGTTCTTTCCTCAAAATTGTGCAACCAAAGTCACCAAAAACACAAAAGCCCTTAGAAGTCCCAAATTTAGAACCTTTGCTCCAAGTGAAAAAAAGACAAATATTTTTAAATAAAATATTTTAATTTTACAGAACTGAAACGCCGCTAAAAGCTCAAAATTTTTAGAATCGGCGATTCGATTATGATTCAAAGATATGACCTTCTGGGGAAAATCGGGATAATCCGGGATCGGAAAGGGATCAAACGGTCTACCAAGGAAACCAAAACCGAGAAAAAATGTTTCACCGGAAAATCGACAAAACCAACCGCTTCACCGGAGGAAAACGGAAAATCCAAGCTTTTTAGAGGGCAAATAAAATACACGGTTGAATTCACTGATAAAAAAGGGGTCAAATTCAACAAACTGTAGAGAGAGAAAGAAAATTTTAATCGATTAAAATTGTAGGGATAATCGAAAACCCTAAAATTTACTATCGCTCACTCATCTCCATTTTTTCCTTCACTCTGTCTCTCAAGGTTTCTCGCTCTACTGTAACAATCAACTAATAGAGCCCCTGCTCTTCTAGATTTTATAGAGCCATTTTTTTAATTAGTTTTTTTTTAAGTATGAGTTTTTTAATCCAAGCACATCGGACGGCCCAGATACGATAGTGTGAGGGAACGATTAAAGGATTTTTTTACTAAAAAAACAGATAATTGGTTAAAAATTAATTTAACCTTCGACATGGCGACAAGTGCGACCGAGAACCGTCCAGATTTTGCTTACGTGGGTGTCGTAAAATCCAATCATTGCTTGCGCACGGCGTTGTAGCGATGGACACGTTAGCCCAGCCATTGTTAACCTACAAATAGTTAGTTTAGACTACAATTATAATATTATTATAATATGTTGAATTTAGGCTTTGCCTAATTGAATTTTGTACGCATTCTTTTATTAATTATTAGTAGCTTCTTTAGATTTTTAATTACTTACAAGCAAGGTTTTGCCAAATAAACCATGTTTTATTTGGTTAAATGATATACCAAAAAATTATAATTATTAATTAAATTACTTTACTGTTTAATTATAGATTAAAGGTTGAAAACGAAATTAATGTGAATTGAAAGGAAATAGCCTTTAGCTAAAATTGAAAAGCAAATAAAATGGAAACACTTACCTTATGTAATTTAAATGTTTGATAATAATAATTATATATATAATTAAAAATGAAGTTTGACGTATGATTAGTTAAATTTTTGTTTGTTGATTTGATTTACTTATATCTATTTTTAAAAACTAAATAAAAAACCCCCACTTGGCCAAAAGAAAAATGAAAACTTAGTTGAACCTTAGTAAAATTACTTGAATGATTTTTATTTTTTATTTTTTTAACTCTTTCATGGCTTCATGATACGATTGAAGTACTTTTTGTTTCCTTTAATAAGTGAAGCAATGTTTAGTAGTAATCAATGACTTGACCTTTCCCGTATTGTTAGGATGATTTATCCTTGAGATCACTTCTCCTTGTCTTGTTGTTCGTTCATGTCAATTAGCTCACTATAACAATTTATGAAGACAAGTTTTAGGCTTGAGGCATATTAGCATGTGTGCATGTGCTGTCTCTTAGATTTTTTTTTTTCTTTTTTGTAGTGCTTTTTTCTTCTTGTGTTGAGGGTATTAAATTGTTTGGTTCTGCATATATGGTACCTCACAGCAGAGCCGAGTATTCAATATTGACATCAATAAAGAGTTGACGGTTAGATTAGAAGACTCGAAATCAAGTTCAATTATTAATATCGACGAATTACGTTAGTCTCGTGATATTTTTATTTTATATTTTATATAAATGTGATTATTAAAAATTTAAATTTAAATTTTTCAAAATTATATAATTTAAATTTAAAAAAATGATTGAATTAGTAGTATCACAAGCAATTCATTATTCGATTCCTTCTTTTGTCTAGATGATTCTTCTTCAACTCCGTGGACATAACAATTCATTGCATCTATATTTTTAGGTGCTAATTGGATAGAAACGTTGGCAGCTTTTGTGCTTGTAGTCCAAATATTTATTTCTTTCGTGTTAGAGAATGAATCGCATTTCATACGATGGTGATTGCCCTTTCCGTTGCGATTTTGCAAAGCATCATTAGTTTTTAAGCAGCATGAAGAGCAGCAAAAGTCCTTGTTTAGCAATTCATGAGCACGGGATAAAATGAAATAATACCTTTATTATTAACTTTTTTAATTCTACCTTTTACTTTTTAAATAAAAAGATTATAAAATGTTTCAAATATGAAAGCAAACAAATTATTCCATTTACAATCCCACTCAAAAAGTTAGAATGCACTCGTAAGTTTACTTTATTTTCATAATTAAAATGATTAAGTCTTTTTAATTTTAAGATCATATTAATTTTCAATAAACAAAAAAAAACCAAAAACACAAATAATTTTCAAGAAGCCATGGAAGCAGTAACTTGATATCTTGTTGAACCTTATTACACTGAATGACTTTTTTCTTTTATTAACTTTTTTTTAATATTTTAAAAAAGATAATGATTAGTAGATGGATAAACAGTAAGTGAGAGAATAGAAGAAAAGATGTCATTGAAATATCTTTATCTGAGAGTCTTTAACTCATTTACGCGGAAAATATTTAAGATGTAGGAAAAGTCATGGAGCGAATCTGCTTTCTTTTTTCCTTTTCTTTCTTTATGCACCATTTTTCTATTTGGATTTTTTTTTTCTTCATCTTTAATACTAAAGCGTTTACTAGGAAAGTAGGCAATACACAGGAGACAATCTTGGTGGAGAATTTTCCGGAAAAAATCTTAAGCAGGGCACTTTTAATAATGGCAAGCTTAATTTGACTTTGCGGTTGTGGCATAAAGTTCTCCAAAAATAAGAGTTACAATTAATGGTTTTCTTTTGCCGAGAAAAGATATGATAAAAATTTTATTATCTTAAGGACAAATGTTGAAGAGAAAATAAAAATGAGGTCCAAACAGATCTTGTTGCATATTTGACTCAAATTTTAATAGAGAATTAATTTGGATTTTGATAAAATTTTATTAGTTGAGAATTTTTTTTTTGTAATTGAATTTATTTACGGGCTTATTTTAAATTTGTAGTTCTTCTAATTAAATGGCACACCCCTTTTTAATACCATAGTACATTATTCTCCTTTTTTAGTTCACATTATGTTATGCACATAAAGAATTTCGTCAACAAGTTTTTCATTACAATTATCGGAAATTTCTTGGCAAAGGTGCCAGATCGGACGATGATGATGCAATCCCAGTTTTGTCATGTGAGGCAGCAAGTTGGTAACACACAACATAATGATCTAGGACTTTACTCATGGATCATGATAGAAAGGGCAAAATTGTTGCAAAAAGAGCAAAGCTTTGAGGACCCACCTTGACGTTCAAGTAAACGGCCATCCATTTTTTTCAATTATTTAAATAGCAAATCTAACTCTAGGCCTAGGGGGTGAAAAGCATGTATAATGCTTCACTTTCTCATCATCCTAACTTTTTATTTTATTTTATGTTTTACAATTATTTCTTCCCAAAATTTGGCTTGACTCTTTGATGTTCTTGACAAATCATTTGTTGCCCTCCAAACATCCACCCATGTTACATATTTCCACGGTATCCTATGGCTTTGCCCAATACACTTGTTGGATTTCTTTCTTTGACGCTGTTTTGCCATATTCGATGAAAAGTAGCTTTAAGAAGAAAAAAAAAAGGTTGGACCCAAAAAAATGTATAGAAATAAAGTATTTCCACCAACAAAATCTTCTACTTCTCTAATCCTTTGCCTGTGTAATGCTTTAGTTTTTCTGCTTTTGTTAGGTTTCAACAATGAAAAAGATAAAACGTAAAGGGGAAGTATAAAGAAAGATTTAGAAAAAATAGTGAATGCAAAAGCTAAATTTGGTGTGGATGGTGAAGGTATGGAGTATGAGATACTTAAAAGCAAAATTACAACCCAATAAAATAGTGGATTTGGGTTGACGATATATATCCCAAAACTAAGCAGATACCATTCGGCAGCACCCACTGCCATTTTTCTACAAGCTTTGTGACGAGAGAGTCATGTTTGTGCGGAAAGCAATGTTAGATGGGAAATGCGCCCACTTGTAAAAAAAGGCTGAGCAATCAAACCAAGAGCGAAAGCGAAAGAAACAGAGGCAGACAAAACAAGTATCCTCCGCCCACTTGCTCTTTCCAAGAGCGTGAGCTTTTCTTTCACCCACTTTGCGCCGCTCCCCCCATGTGCTTTGTAGAGCGTAGAACGTCACTTGAGCCAAAAATATCAACACGACACACTTCCCTTCCTTCGTGATTCCGCAAAGTAGGCAAATTTTGACAAGGAGTGATTGTATTCGATACATTTACCACATCGGAACTGGTTATTGACCCATTCAAAGTCAGTTAACCCTCTAGAAGCCCCATGAACTCCACCACTTACTAATGGCTTGAATGAATGTTAAGTTTTAAGTTTAAGCCCTGACACTTTTATTTAACTTGATTGTTAATTTTTATATGTTAAAAGTTGTTTGATTATAATTATAACTATTAATGCATTTATTTTCATTAGAAACAAAAGGGAGTGTTATTAGAATGAAGTTGTACTGGGTGGGGGATAAGGGCCCTTAATGTTTGGTTAAGCTTCCCTATACTACTTCATGGTTATATCCACGAGAACCAAAAATTTATGGGTGAATATTAATATGATGATATGAAGAGTAATGATTTGAACTATTAATTATTCATGACATTAAACACTAAAGGAAAAAAGAGAATAATATAGGCAAGTGGGGAGAAAAATTGTATCCAAATCAAATATACACCCCTCACTTGGTGCACCTAATACACGAAATTCAATGGAAAGTTTGTCTTAAATTTGTCAAACAAACAGAGTGTCTTCTTGTTTTTTCTTTTAGAAATTTGCCTTCATAGGTTATGGTTAATTCAACAACCATGATCATGACCTCTCCTTAATTTGGCCGGTTAGGACTATGATGGAATGATTAGTAATCATAATTTGGCCTTATTATTTATTAGCCTCTTTAATTTCTCCTTGTTTGAAAAGGTAAGATGGTTTATTTATGTTCATTAGATATTTTGTCTTCTTCTTTACTTTGTATTTGTGCTGAAAGAGACCCCAGACTCCAAAGCGATGAGATCGATGATGAGGCTTCATGTTCTTTAATTTAGTGCCATTACTCGTGGGACAATAGTTTTCTATTTCCTTTCTGGCCACTAAAACCTAGTGTTTTCCATTTTCTTACGTGATTAAAAATAAATTAATTTATATTTTAATTTATTATTTGTGGAGTTGTGGTATGCCAAAGAGACCAAATTTATTGAAGAACATGGCCTAATAGCCCCATCGATGCAACCTTAATTAGATCACAAGTTGCTGTATTATCTATCTATGATTATAAACCCTTAAACTAGTCCTAATCTCTTTCTTCCCATGTATCAAACAAAGGCTTGAAACTTTTATTTTAAAGGCTTTAGTAATTACATTCTTA